AGCGCGGCCTGCCCTTCGGGATCCTTCATCAGCTTTGGGAGCTTCAGGTTTCGTCTAGCCCATCCGGCCGTGTAATTCATGGCCTTCAACGCCCGGGATAGCCGCCGGTACAGAAGCCTTTGCATCCGCTCCTGCCCCAGGTTGTAGTAAACAGACATCTCCTGGCTGAAATACTCCCGGCCGGCAGGGGAGTTCATCCCCCAATTCTCCAGCCTGGCGGCCACCACCTCGTAACACCAGGGGAGCCTCTCATCGGCCTTCCACCCTTCGGCCAAGAACTTCTCAACAGCCTCATCGGCAGCCCTCACAACGGCGGCTTCGGCCTCAGCTTTCGCCTTAGCGGCCTCCTCGCTCCTGCGCTTCTCGGCCTCAAGCGCTCTACGGGACTCCTCAAGCTCCCTTCTGCTCTCTTCGAGCTTGACCAGGGCATCGTCCCTGGCCGCGACGGCCTCATCAGCCTTGGCCTGAAGCGCCTTGGCATCCTCCCGGAGCCGGTTAAGGCAAGCTACCGCCTCGTCGGCCGAGGCGGCCTTCTGCTCCAGCGCTTGCAGGCGGACTATCTCCCAGTACTGCCTCTTATGGTTTTCCATAAGCATGAAGGCACTCTGCATAAGAAAAACAAAGGTCAGGCAAAAACTCTACATAAGACGAAGAGAGACAAGAGTATAAGGACAATCACTTACTTGGACGAGAAGATCCATGCCGCCCTCATAGATCTTCGGATCCTCGAGCTTCTTCAAATGAGCCCGATCTTTGGCCGGCATGGCCTTGGCAAGGACGACGTGGCCGGGGACGAGCTCATTAAACACGCCCCCGCCGACGGGGTACTCTATCACTTTCTGATAGGTAGCACCGGCAACCTCTTTGCCGGCCCTCTGCGTCCGTGGTTCCTGGACGAGAGGAAGCGCTGGGGCGGCACCATCAGCAACAGTAAGGTCCACAACGGGACCACCATCGCCCACGCTGGGGACGGTAAGCGTACCGGCCTCACTGGCAGGAGAAGGGGAAGGAGCCCTCTTCGTCTTCTTAGAGACGCTCACGCCGGCCTCGGTCAACTTCTTCTGGCCGTCAGTGGCCGGTCTCTTTTTCTTGGACGGGGCAGGCTTTGGGGCCGCATCTGCATTAGCCCTGCCCACACCGGCCGCGGCACGCCTGGCCGCTTCGGCCGCCTTAGCAGCAATCTCCTCGGCCGCTTTGGCCTTCGCAATCGCCATCATAGAACGGCGGTCCATGACAAAATCTACAAGGGAAAAGCACAAACAGATTAGTAAGGCAAAGGACAAAACGTAAAGACACAAAGCCGAAGAAGAATTACCATCGGCCTCAGCGGGAATGCCCAAAGGCGGGCCATCGGCCTCCTCAAAGTTGGTGGTCATCCTCGGCCAGAGTTGGAGGTCATCCTCCTTATCTCCATACAGGTGATATCTGAAGAAGCCGAGGGCCGTCATCTTGTATTCAGTGACGTAATCTTTCACGCTCCTCGGCCCCCCTTCCAGGAAAGCCTCCACCTGAGCGTCCAGAATAGAGCTCTTCGGCGGGTCATGAAGGTTGAACCTCCCGGTGTGGCCGAGGGAGGGGAACTCGGTGCCACTCTCACCAATGGACACAAACACGAACTTGCTCTTCCACCCATGAATGGACGTAGGCAAATCCGTGAAGCTCCTCTTCCTCGGCAGCTGTTGAAGAGTGGCATAGGCCGCACAGTTCTTGTGGCTTCCTCGGCCGATCTGGTACAAGTTCATGAATAAGGCCGTGGTCGGCCTGTAGCCCAACTCCTCACACCGAAGCAAGAAACCCACTATCAAGGAATAACTGTTCGGCGTCAGCAGGGCCGGAGGAAGCCCCACCATGTCCAGATACTCGGTGACGAAGGGGTGAAGGGGGAACCTCAGCCCCTTAGCAAAACTCATCGGGTATACTCCGAAGTATCCCGGTGGCGGAAGTAGAACATGGTCCGTCGGCCTGGGTGCCCTAACCCGCCCGAACGGCCCCACGTACATCTGGGCGACAAGATAGTCGGCCTCACTGCTCTCCGGCTTAATCAGGAATATGTTGGTAAGGTCCAAGTAGGAGAGACCCGGCCCATTCTTCGGCCTCCTCACTCTCTTCGGCTTCGATGCGCCCTTCACGGCAGATACCGGCTTCGGGCACGGAACGGCAGCAGAGGTGGACGCCCCGTCCACCGCTCGGGACGCACCTACGTCCTCACCCTCTGAAGAGGAGGCGGACTCCTCGTCCTCGATCTCCTCGTCCATTAGCTCTACGGATTTGTAGGGGCTCAAACGCTCTATCTCCTCTTCAAACTCCTCGAGCACCTCGTAGTCAAGGGACCTCGTGGAGGGCTGGTCGTCGTAGGGGTAGTAGTCCTCGTTCAAACTCTTCATTACTACTACGGGCTTAAGGAGAACTTACGATCTAAGGGTGTTTAGATGCCTAACACTAGATCCAACTACTTACGGAACAAAATATGAAAAGTGAGGAAGATCGTGATGAACACTAACCTCAAACAATGAAGAACACGAAGAGCAGGCTTGGGAGTTTCTCTCTCTAGAAAATCGGCCAGCACTTCGACAAATTCAGAATGCAAATGTGATTCTTCGTCGGAGGGGAAGGGGTATTTATAGACCCCCCCCACCAACGGTCACTACACGTGGCACTCACCAAATGGCCACATCAACGGCCACCACTGGGGGGCCACCACGTCACCAGCGGGCCAGGACCAACCCATATCAACGGCCCACTGGCAAATCAGACTCTACGGCCTACACACGCTCAACGGCCTTACAACTGCCAGCAAGCGCCCTCAACGTCCCATTTGCTCACCAATATCACAAATGCCAAACAATAAGAGGATGGCAACGGCCAGGTACGTAACGGCCAAAGAACAAAGGGAACAAATAGCCCACAGCCTTCGGCTCCTCGTAATAACCCTTGACGATAACTCTCTACAAGCGATCTGCGCACAAGGGTTCTCCCACAGGGTTACCTTGGCCAGAAAATCGCCATGAGAGTTGGATTCAGGGGGACTACGGCGAGACCGCTTCGGCCAAGGACTCAGGCAACTCCTTCACCCCTCACTCTCTTCGGCCTGAAGCAGTGGGGGACTGGGGGACTACACCGGCCTCAACGAAACAAAGGTATAAACAAGGTAACCACAAAACATGGCCACATCACCCGTACAGCACAACAGAACCTCATCGGCCAAAGGCCCATAACGTCACTAGCAACGGCCAACAAGCCACTAGAGGCAAGGACACTCATCGTCCTCCGCCAACAATTAATCTTGACGGGCTCTTCGGCCAAAGACACAAAGGAACAACCTCAACGGCCTCACCGGCCCAAACGTAAACTTCAAACACCAACGGCCAGGAAAGGGAAAGCGCGCCCTCAACGGCCACCATTGAAGGAAGGACACTCATCGTCCCAAAACACATTAAGGAAATGACGGCCTCCCCGCCCACAGCAAGGAACAGGTAACGGCCAAAGCACAGAATAGGATCACCAGAGGAAACAACGCCAACGCCACAACGGCTAACGGCCTGGAAACGCCCGCGTCGGCCAAAAGCAACAAAGCACAGAAATCTACTCTCCTTCACTTCGTCTACGTCTCAGCTTAGAGAGTGGGGGACTCCTGATGGAGTATATGGGTCTGAGCCCCAGGACCCACATACTCGGAAGAACAGAGCACAAGACAGAGTGGCGCCCTCGTCGGCCAAACGCCCTCGTCGGCCGAGAGGAAGCCAACCCGGATTATGATCCCGAGTCCAAGGAACCCGGGTGCCCCCCGTCGGCCACGACCTCGTCGGCCGAGAGGAAGCCAACCCGGATTATGATCCCGAGTCCAAGGAACCCGGGTGCCCCCGTCGGCCGTGCCCTCGTCAGCCGTGCCCTCGTCGGCCACGACCTCGTCGGCCACGAGGACCTCCCAGAATCGGATCCTACACTTACTCACTTGTACAGCCCATTAGTGGCTTTGTATTCGGCCCAGTAGCGGTCCAGTTGTAAATGGGCCTCCCAAGCCCAAGGCTTGGGAGCCCAACCCTAATTTTCTCTATAAATACTCCCCTTGGGAGTAGTTATAGGGGTTACGAAATCATTCTATTGAAGCATATTATTGCACTTCTCTCTCTAGCTCTCACTTCTCTCTAGATATACTCTATCAGTGTCCATGACTACATTTTTTTGTACGAATTGTCGGTGCACTTTAAATTTGGAACGTTGAAAAAATCAATTTTGCACTTGTCACGGAATTAGTCACGGACACGTCCGTGACTACCTGTAGTCACGGTACTAGTCACGGAACCATCCGTGACTAATTTCAAATTTAAAAAAAAATCCCGCTGGAGGGCTAAAATGGGTTGGCCGGAGCACTTTAGTCACGGACTTGGTCCGTCACTACCTATAGTCACGGACGTAGTCACGGACAAATCCGTGACTACTTTTTTTTACACGTTCCGTGACTAAACCGTGATTAGAACCGTGACTAACTAGTCACAGACCAAATCCGTGACTACGGTCCGTGACTACGGTCCGTGACTACAGACGAATTTTTTTGTAGTGACAATATCCTCAAATAGAATGGTTTGATTTGATTTAGTTTTAGACTGAAAACCCGTAAATTGAATTTAACTACATTTATTAAAGTATATATATTTATCTTCACTTTTCATCTTTAGGATATAAATATATAATGTAGATATAAAAAATAAGGATTTAGCATATAACATTTTAACTTTACCCATTCCAAATATTCATAATCACAAAGTTGGCTAACTAAACATATTAGATATATGTTGTACTCAGATTGGAAACATATTAGCACATGCATTTATAACCATTTTAGTTAAACTATACGGAGTAATATAATAGTATACACTTTACATATACCATTCATTTGAATAAAAATATGAATTTTATCCCATTAATTTCAACCTATATTTTTTACTGGTGTTTGGGAACTTCAATATATATTTTTTATCCTCATCATATGGGTCGTTCAGGATATGTGCTTTCCATGGCGAAATGGAAAGAGCAAGGCTTATTAGACCGGTTTCTTCCGACATCGGAGGTAGATTCAACGAAGTCTAGCACAACCACAACTGAAGAAATTCCAAGACATGTAAGCTGGTTTTGTGCTAGGTCGGGATTGACATCTGATGGACATTTAGCTTTTCCCGGTAATACTGATGGCATGAAAGAGAAAAAAAAACAAATTGGTAAGTTAAACGTTTCTTATATCTTTTATAAATTCGCTTAAATTAAAGCTAATGCACTTTAAATAAACTATATAATAGGACAAAATTCAAGATGACATAGCTGCAGGGACATGGAAGCCAATTGGACGACATGATATTTTGACTGAGGTTGTAGGGAAACCTGACTATCCTGGCCGTGCACGTGGCATTGGTGGTGGTGTGGGTTATACTCGAGTGTTTGCAGCAGAGCGTAGAGGTGGACGGCGTGATAAAGTGGGTAATTTGAGTGAGGATGATTTGAAAAAGTTGCAAGAGAGATGGTTGAAAGATATGCATCACTACTTTGTTCCTAGAGGTGAACAACCTACCATGAGATCAACGCAAGCTTCTGAGTCAGGCCAAGTTGATACAATGAACTCCACGGCTGATATTCCACATAAATCTTTCATTGTGAGTAAGAATAAATTAAATTTACTATGTGAATGAGAAATTAATTTTGGGACGGAGGGAGTATATGATATTAAGTCTTTTATGCAATGTAAATCTTTAATTGCATGTGGAAATTCATGCAGGATGGTGCAAATTGTAGGCTGGCTGTTGAGTCACAAACTGTTAATGGTGATATGAGCTTGGATTATGTGGCCGTAGCTGTAGCTTACAACACACCAGTTGGTGCTTTGATTCATAATGTATCGATGTCTGATAAAACAATTAAAGTGAATATATCAATGCCATGTCCAGGTTGTGATCAGTGTCCCTTGTTGTTTCCAAATGAATCGGCTGATATGTATGTTATAGCGGATGCTGTTGGTTCCTTTGTTCAGTGGCCAGCTCGGTTGGTGATTTTTGAGGGGGAGGTAGCTAAATAGTAGTAACCTTATACTATCTTATTAAGTGTAATTTATGTATATATTTATATATGTGTATCGTGTTTGTTGTTGACTTTTTTTAGGAACCACAATTTCAACACAAAAAAAAGAGATGAAGAAGAAGCAAACCCCATTTGTTGAGAGAGATCCTCCAAAAGTAACGGTTGCACCTTCTATATGCCCGTTAGTCAGTGAGAGCATACTTGATACTCTTACAGATGATGTTTTGGAGTTGCACGAGGCATTGCAGTGGTTTGAACTTGAAAATTGTAAGTTCTCTGTCCATCTTTCTACAGATGTGTTCTGTTTTCAGGAAGATCGTCCGTTTGGGGCTACAATTGATCGTGATGAGTTGTCTCGGTTTCTTGAGGGGGACTCACTTGAGATTTGTATCATTCAGACTTTCATGGTGTAAGTATTCAATATACATTACTTTTAAATTAAGTAAATGTCTTTAGGTGCTCGAAGTGTGATAGTATTTATGTATGTGCAGTTGTTTAAAAGAAAAGCTAGTTGAGCTTGGCCGTGACGACATTGGCTTTTTGTGCCCTCACCTGTGCTCTTCTGAACATTATAAATTGGACAAAAAGGGCACAATGACTTACTTGAAACATGCTTTGATAAAGTCCTTTGAAAAGTCATTCATTTTCCTTCCATACCATGAAGGGTAAAACATATACAATATATTTCCATTGAAATAATTCTTGTGATACGTTATTTATTTATTGTGTTATTTTATACAATATAGGTATCATTGGATTCTACTTGTCATTTGCCCTATGATCGATAAGGGATATATTTTTGATTCCATTTCGAGTTCTAGCATTAGTATTCAAAGAGACTTGACAACGTTAGTATTATATATTTGTTTGAATCAACTTAATTTACATATTAATATGTTTTAATATTATGATCGATAAGGGATATATGTTTGTTTGAATTTGTAGAATGTACAGGGTTGCATCTGCACAAAAAGGTAGCGGTAAGCCAATTAAATGGAATAGTGTGAAGGTATGTTACATCCTTTCTATCCTACAATTAATCTTAGGAAAGTAATCTTGAAATGGAATTTTGATTTATTATACGTGTGATGTGAACTATACAGGTTGCACAACAAACCGGAAGTACTGAATGTGGATATTATGTCATGAGATTCATGTGGGAAATAATATCATACTCTGAAAATCATGATATTGGAAAGGTATGAATAAATTGTGAGTTTGCAAAGTTATTTATTATATATATATTGTATTGTAATTAAAGTGAAATATATTTGTGATCATTTCAATACATTTCAGGTATGGCGTTCAAGAAGTGAACCATACACATTAGCAGAGTTCAATGATATCAGAAATATATGGTCAAGATACTTTCTGGATGTTGTACTGCAAAGTTGAGAAAAAACTATTTAGCCAAACAATTTGTAATGTATGAAATTTGTAATATATGAATGTTGATTGGATGTTTAATTAAACACGTATTTGATTGTGCATTATGCGTTTTTATAGATGATATGGTACTGTTTTTATCGGATATGTTTGATTGTATGAAGTTAGTTTTATGTATTTTTACGTATTATAAACAGGGCATCTAGCTAAATTTTTAATACAAATATTTTTGATTAAATAAAATTTTAGAGGCGCTTCAACCGGTAAAGCGCCTCTAAAAGTTTTTCAAATTCAGAGGCGCTTTTTGATCAAATAAGCGCCGCACGCGTCACAAAGATTTTCAAATTCAGAGGCGCTTGTGATCAAATAAGCGCCGCACGCGTCACAAAGATTTTCAAATTTAGAGGCGCTTTTTAACAAAGAAGCGCCGCACGCAAAGCGAAAAAAAAAATATTTAAAAAATTAGAGGCGCTTTTTGCAGAGAAGCGCCTCTAAAAACACGTTGCGGCACTATACATTAGAGGCGCCATAAAGCGCCGCACGTGTACAAAAAAAAGCGCCTCGAAATGACGTTTTTGCACCTGTGGCACTTTTAACCCATATTGTTCAACCCATTTTACCTATTATTTCGACTCGTGCTGTTTTTGCGAAGTTGTTTTTTTCGACCCATGTTTTTCGGTTTATATATTTTCGACTAGCATTTCAAAATATTATTAAAAAAATTGGGGAACTGCTCTGAATGACATCATTTTGCCAAGTGTTTTTAGGCATTTTAGTACTTTTTAAAAGTTATCGCGAGATTTTGTTTGTAAATTTGTAAATATTTTCAGATTATTTTGATAAACGTTTATAAACTAAGTACTCCTTATCCTGAGAGTCAGATTTTTCATCCCACTTTCTATTAGGAATTTGAACCTCATTTAATGAACAAAAAATAGAAAGAAAGAAAAAACAAGACATGGGAATTTAGTTTATATACTCATTTCATGATATGTACTGCGCCGAGGGTGCGATCAAAAGAAGGTTCTGCACTTCTGCACCAAGTCTTACACTTTTAGAGAGGTTAATCTCGACGCATCTTAAAATGTGCAATGTGAATTTTCATTTGTGACATTATTTAAGCAATTTTTTGATACGGTAAAACTAATTAAAAAATAAAATTATATGAAAAACGAGTCTCGTACAAGAATAATAAGGAAGATGACAAGTGAGCGAATAAGAATGTATTTCAGTGTGATGTTCGAATGTGAAGCTATGGATTACAATGGGGGATGCTCTATTTATAGGAAGGGTCATTAATGGCCTAGTTGTCCGTTACACACGGTTTAGCTGTTCCGACCCGACGGTTTCACAACTCGTCATTAATGCTGGCCAGCTCAAATTGAGTAACCTCCAACTTTAATTATGTTACTAATTACAATAATAAATACAAATCCGTTATAACAGACATCATTTAGCCTCATGGACGTATCATTAACTTCTGCGGTTGCCACATAAACCGTCAAATTCTTGATCCAACAGACATATACTGATATACATGCATAATAAAAACTACTCCGTATAATACACTCAAAACATAAAGATTTTTACAAATTTGGAATTTGAAGATTATATTAACATTGTATCCTTTTTAAGTTTTGGAATTTGGAGTATTGCCAAAACGAAAGGGGGCACATTTAATATTTATATAGAACAAAATTAATGAACGATGACATATATAGCTGGTTTAAAAAAAAGAATGTAGAAAGAATAGCACATGAACAATTCTTTCTCATAAGATAAACAAGAAAGACCTGCGCAAGCTTGGATCAAAATCCTCCACAAAATGCCTCAGTCACTAATTGCCCAATAAGTCACTAACAACTTCATCAAGTAATGAATTGAGCAAGGCATTTTCAAGCTGTGATCCAAATTCAAAAGCTTCAATTTCAAAGTTAAGCCATTTCCCAAAACCAGTGCTCATATCCTTGTCCACAACCTCATCAACCATTGAGCTTCTCATTTCACTCCACCCCAATATCTCCCTATATACTTCTTCTGCAAGACGATCCTTTCGTCGAATCACTGACATACCCTTTACCCACATTTCATACCCACATCCTCCATACTTCCGGTACATTGACTCTACACATTGGCTAACGCAATCGAACAAAATCTTTCTTTCTAGTCTCAGCTCATTTCCATAGCCACAGACCACCTTTCTGCTTTCCAGCACCTCAAAAAGGTGAGGCTTTATTAAAAAATCTTTGAACATCATCATCTGATCAAGATTTGTATTACTAAGAATCTCTTTCACATACTCTAACTCCCATTCTGGTGGTGGTGATTTCCATAAGGGCTTTTTTCTATCATCTGAGAAACCTGAAGTTTTTGAAGAAGCTGAATCCAGCAAGTCTAAATCGGCTTCCCTGTAATGGAATCTCTTCACTGAGGCTATGCCAACAATTTCTTGGGCTTGGATTGATGAGCTTTGCTTACTACCTGGCATTCATTCATTTATTCATTCATTACATTGAAAAAAGATTGGATCTTTGGGCAAACACTAAAATCATTCTTTCACTTCCAAGGAACATTAATAGTATGGATATTAGTAGTATCAACTTACTTGGTGTAGTATTACTGTCAGTATATGAATAATTGCAGCTTCCGGTTATATAAGGATTCTCAAACACAGATACGGGGCTTGGGAATCGGCGATCATACATGTTTTTCATATAATGGTCCATTCCTTCAACTACCTACAATAATCAAGTAAAGGCAAGCGAATTAACTATCAATATTATAACGGAGAATTATAAGTGATAACTACAAAGAATAAGAAAAAGAATTACCTGACGTTTGTGTTTCATAGTAATTTCCTGAGAATCAGTAGAAGAAAAGACGAAGTGATGTTGGCTTACTGGTGGTACATCTATATCCATTGCATCATCGTGCAAAATGTCTGTTGATAAAGAAGTAGCAGTTCTTCTAGTTCTTTGGCAAGAAGAAGGTTCCACTTTCTCAGTAAGTTCTCTAAGCTTTTGCTCCAAAAGTCTGCTTAAATCACTACCTTGGGAGGGGTGAAACTTTTTAACTTTATAATCTGCACTACAATCAGCAAAGTTCTTTTGCTCTATTCTAGAGGTCTCAGTGATTGGCGTAGAACGTGATAACGGAGCATTGAATGTAAAAGAAACTATGTTTGTCCCTTCCCTATCCATTAGTCCACCAGATTGAAAGATTTTTCCACTCTTACGATTTGATGATTGATTACCTGAAGTCAGCTGATTTTTCTCACATGGGAAATCGCCTTCTATAGACCGCTGTTTCTTGCGTGTTACATTCTTGTTACTGGAAGACACTTCTTCCTTTTTTCATGGCCCATTTCCAAACTCAGTCTCCTTGAGCTGATTCTTGAAGTTTCTGCACTTTTAGTTGAGCTTTTCTGCTGATGAGAAAGAGTGGAATCCCCGCTGAGTGTTCTCTTTCCTTGTGGCTTTGAAGATGTCTTTCCTCCGCCATAACAGCTATTCTGCCTGAGAGCACTAACTGCAGATGGTTTCTTTTGATTGTTATTTCTGTGCATAATCTGCCTTGAATTTAGATCACTTAGTTCTTTCTGTCTACCAGCATAAAGGAGTAGGGTGTTGTGGTAGGCGTGTGACGGCCAACAGTATCACCTAGTCACATGACATGACATGAATCGAAATATGAATATCGTTAATGTTAGGTCGTCACCCAAATACACGAAAGAAAAGCACTGTTGAAAAACAGTGTAAAATAGTCAAAGCTCGTAGGTCCAAATCCCAAAATGTTGCTAGTAATTCTAAACTAGTTGCAGTTTTTTATATTTAATCTATGTTTTCTCATACTGGTGTTATTCTCTTATTTTAATTTCAAGATACTGTTAATTTGATGGTTCCACATGGCTATCTTGCTCATCCAGTTGGGGGAATGACTTCTTTGATGTCTTTTTTTGGATCTCCGCAAGTTTTCGCGCCTTACTTTGTGCAATCAAATGTTGTGAATCAACATCACATTTAGTTGAAGTAGTTTTTATATTTTTTCATTTTATTTAGAAATGTTCTCAAGTTATTTTCTGTTTAAGCCATGAGGCAATGTGATTGCACACTGCTGTTTTTGTTTCTATAAGTTACATTTGGTTTGTAAATACTGAGTGGAATTAAGTAACCCGAAAACAATAAGATGTAACTCGCGCATAAATATGTGTAAATCTTTTATTACACGATGTTACTTAATATACTATGAAATGTAAACAATGATAACAAGGAGCCCAAACTAAATACTTATAAGTTTACGTAAATAGTGAATATACTTTGTTTTTTATATTTGAGGCCATTTTTTTTGACAAAAAAATATTTTATTTTTGCAACTCACTTATAACAAGATGTAACTTATGTACAAAAAGATGTAATTTCATCATTATCAAATGTAAGTCCACAAATTGTACCTCTTTTTTTCACCCAGTAACATCTTTTATCAACATGAGATACATAATGTTTAGTCTATAGTTACATTATTTACTCCAACTTTTGCAATCCAAAACTACATAAATTTGATATGAAAGATAAAATACCATTTATAAGAAGTTGTTGATCAGTTTACATCACATAATATGTTTTCAAAATAGACTTCAATGATAAACTAGTAAAGACTAATAAACTTCAATGATAAATGTTTTCATACCATCACCCATCACTCATCCCCTCACATAAAACCACCAAATGTTTACAAATCCCTCATAACAACAACACCACTTTACATTTTGATAAATTTTTGTGCATTTTCAATAACATTTCTCCTTTCTGAGTTGAATTTTGATAATAGGAACTCTGCTGCATACATAAGTCTGAGCTTTTGCAGAATTTTATTTTGTGCTTTGACTCCATCATCTGTATCAGCACTGGGAAAACCAGAATCCCAATTGTCTCCCTGGCCTCGATATGTTTCCCGATGGCGCATTACAAATATGCCACAGTCAACATGGTTACCATTGTATCACCATGGCATAGTCAGCACTCTTGGATTCCACTTTGACATCTTTCCAGCATTGTGTCCGATTTTTATGCAATATGAAGTAAAGTCTTCCACCTATTTCAAAAGATACATTAATAGACTAAAAAAACACATTACTGACATT